GTATAAGAGGGTAAAACGGTGCTTACCTTCCATTAGATTATGGAAGTGTACCCTTCCCTGGTATATCAATGTCAACCTCTTTCTCAAAAGTCAATAGTCAATTGAAGAGAAAAGAGATGATTTCCAGGAGAGCAGACCTCTTTGCTCATGCAGCAGCCACTTATGACTCTCCAGTGTATTTGCCAGATAAGTAGAATGATCAGCCATAGTCACTGTTAGCTTGTCCCTACTCATACCCTCTATACGCAGTATATACAGTCTCTGCATGGTGGGAGGTGAATGTCCAGTCTTTACAATGGTTGAAATGTCACTGATATTGCACAAAAAAGGCATCAGTGCAAAGAATGGTGCAGTAATTTTAGTAACTCGGAGTTATCAGGCGCACTTAATAGAGACTGGAAATTCCCAGGGCACCCAGGTCATTCTTACACGAACACAATCTCACGCTCTCGACCCAAGTCGTTCCAACAGATATAACCAGCCAATCAACTACGGCCACAGACGTGTCGATCCTGGACTAAACTACTTGTACTCATACAGACACAAAAAGCACTCTACTTTGCTGTTTCTTCAACCAGGACCCCTGACAACGACACAACACCTTTGTTTGGTCTAATCGTACATGTCAGCTTGATGTTTTTGTTTCCATGATGCTAATTGGATTGAATTAATTAAGTCTGACAGATAATAGGCAGGGTCAGTTTTAAAGGCCACTGTTGGAGAAACAGCATACTATGTAAGGTGGTTCTCAAACAGTTCATCGTTCTAAATGCAAAGGGAGACACAGGTGCGGAGGGGAGGGGGTTTAGCAGTGCTTTTTGCTCCTCTACGTGTTATTCAAATCCTGGCAGAAGCACAAGAAAGCAGAGACAGGCTGATGACATGTAGGGGAGGGGTGAGGTCAGGGGTCTTACCTCAAAGTCCAGCTCAGAGTACCGAACTCTTTTCCTCTGGAAGAGGAGGGGGGCAGGGGGAGAGAAGACAGCATCAATCACCACCCCTTGACCACTATTGAACTTCAGACGTCTCTATCTAGTCTCTCTAGAGCCGTTGTTCTGTAACAAGAGGAGCACTAATGTGCGCCGGCTGCCCAACATGATACCGATATCCTCGCAACTGTCAGAGCAAAAAGCAAATTATTGCAGTCTCTTGCAACATAATAAGATTAGTGAAGTGGAATAACGCAGAATTAGAGTGAAATAATAATTTCTCGGCTCACATGGTCTCAAATATAATCATTACGACCCTAGCATAAATCATCCTGTGCTATTTCCCTGCTGAGAATTTGTTGAAAATATGTTGGAGATTGTTCAGATCAAAAGAGAAATTGATTCCATCCTCTTATCTCGCTCGGACCCCACCCCTCTCTTCTTATGTGCCCCTGCAGCTTTAGTGAGTAGCACACAAGCCGCCAATTTAACAGCTGCAGACATTTCCAGCTCATCTGGCCCTGACATTGCATTGCATTATATTCCATCTCCCACTTCCTATCTGGCGCTCGCTGTCGAGCAGATTTGCATTTGGCACAGAGAAGGGCTGCTCTCCACAGTTAGTTAAAAGCTGCATTCACTCTTTGAAAGGGCAGAGTTTGCTGATCTGATGCTACGGCAGCCAGGCTTTTAAAAAGGTATAGGAAGGCAAACAGATAAAGAAAAGCGTTTCTCTCTCAGGCGTCCTCTTCCCTTTGCAAATTCCCCTACTCATAGAAGAATGCAAATATACCGTCCCTCCTGCAGAGAAATCCTTACCTTTACTAGAGAATTGCCTTGATTGAGCTTTCTTTATGTTATGGTAGACATGCAACATGCATATACATGTGCCAGTATATTGCATGTTTTGGTGGGAACACACATAAAACATTCATCATTAACTCACTAATACAATATTCATCAGGACTCTTGATCCTCGGAGTTGATGATGTGATGGTGCTAAAAGAGATACCCAGCAACGTACACACTTGTTTCTCATTCGAGTTGCATGTACGAATTAAACTTAGGGAAATTTATGATAATGTGACCTCTATAACAAACAGTTTGTTGTAAGAAGATAATAATTTATGTATCAGCACTCACTCTATTGGTTTCTAAAGTAGGATAATAAGATAATATGCCCTGTTAGCCCCGCCGTGAACGCCTGTGACTAAAAATTAACAGTGAAATAAAGACTATGAGTACATTTGCGTGATCCCTCCATTATGCGTCACCATGTTTGAGTCGCGGAGTAAAACACAGCTGTGATTTAATCTTGAGAGGCACACTCTTATATCCATCTCCAAATCAAGCCTATTCAAACAGGGGGAAATTATGGCAGTGAATTGCATTCCACAGGTTCCGCCGCAGACCTTTTTTTTTTGGTATTCATGAGTGCACTCGTAGCTCTTCTGACACTGATTTTTTATGAGTTCTAATGACTCGTCCTTAACGTCCTCAGCCCTAAATTAAGCATCTGCACTTTTCACTGAAAGTGTCGTTTCCATCTCTTTAATCAACCTTGTGAGTCAGCAAGATGCCATTGGGGGAAGATTCAATATGTGTGCCTGTGTTGTTGTTTGCTTCTTTTGATGTGTGTGTGTGTGTGTGTGTGTGTCTGTGCTGTAAAATTAAGGTGGGCTGACATTCACCAGGAGTATTTCCTCTGATCCTGTCTGTCTCAGTCCATCTGCTATGCCACCTTGTATGGTTAGGAGGGGGTATCACACATGCACACACACACATGCGCACGCACGCACGCACGCACGCACGCACGCACGCACACACACACACACACACACACACACACACACACACACACACACACACACACACACACACACACACACACACACACAGACACAGACACGCACACACACAAACACACGCACGCACACACACACACACACACACACACACACACACACACACACACACACACACACACACTGAGAAGAAGCTGTCTGTCATTATGAGAATAACTCATTCCGACACTCACTGCCTCAGTCAACAGCAGAACTACTACTCAGTGGATACATAATAACAGTTGTGATAGCACACTTCTGCATCATAGCCTGTTTGACACATTGTTAAAATGTCATTAAAATCTTTAATTATATAAACATAAGACTGAAATCTTCTTCTCACATCCTGACTCTGTCAGGACGCAAATCAGTTTCTTTTAAAGTTTAAAGAGACACTGAATGCAAATCATGTTTACTTTTTCTGTTTAAAACTCCAAAAAGGGTTTCAAGTGCTGACATAGAGAGAGTACCACGTTAAATAAATAAATCTTTTTCTTAGAGTTCTTTCTCCCACTAACTTGCTCTTTCTCTTAATCCGCTAGTGAGCATTATATAACTACACCACTACCACATCCACAACTTTAACCCATGATCTCATGTGAAATGTGGACATAGTGGAGAAGCTGCACTACCACTGGGAACCTTTTCTTCCCATTCCTCAATCTCTCACCCACCTCCAGGGATCCTGCTGAGAGGCTGGTGTTGGCGTTGGTGCTGCCAAGGTTACGTGGCAGGGTCCTGGTTCTCTCCACCGTTGTTCCCCCCGTCAGAATCTGTCTGACTGACGGCCTCTGGCCCGGCTTCAGCTGGAGTGAATGCCCGTGGGAGTGCATGTGTCCTCCGTGGGAGTGTACAACACCACCCGGGGCCATCATGTGGCCGTGCCCGTGGGGCATGGTTTTGATCGTCCCATAGGAGCGGTTGAGGTTCATAGTGATGTTCATGTCGCCCACACTGGATGGGACAAAATCTACCGGGTAGGCCTCGCTCTCAGCTGGGTGGAGGGTCAGGGGAGAGGGTGGCGGGGGGAAGGGAGGGTCTTCCACTGCGATGTTGAGAGGCTTATCCTCACCCCCCAGGCCCAGGCCTCCTTGGGAGGAGGGCGCTGAGGGCTTGAGACTGACCGTCCTACGAGGTAAGACCATGTAGTCTCCCTCCCCTCCTCCGCCACTTCCTCCTCCTGCACTTCCTCCGCTCCCAGCACTTCCATCCTGGGAGTTGTTGGAGGAAGCCGGTGGGCGCGCCCAGCCCAGGCCGCTCTCAGTGCACAGGTAGATTTGAGCACCGCTGCGCTGCTGCCCCTGCTGTCTCTGCTGGTCCACGTTCACCTCCTTCTTCAGGGGCGTCTCACTCAACTCATTGAGGCCTCCTAGTGGTGGAACCTGTGCGGAAAAGAACAGAAATCAACTGCTTATCAACTGCACATCGAAGAGCCTGACCGTGAAGATAAGTTCTGATCCTATCACCATTTTTGCTTCTTTATTGTTTGGGACAGACAAAGTGAGCAAGCGAGCATTATCAATGAGCGTAAATCTCTTCAGTCCTGTACCTGTACAATCAGGTTGGGAGGGGGAATGTTCCCGGGGAGGGAGCTGAAGTTGACTCCGACTCCCCCCTCCTGATGGGCTGCCAGCTTAGGATCGTCCTCGTCATCCAGGGAGATGCGGGAAAGGGTCCCGGTGATGGTGGCTGGGTTACAGGTGTTGACCTCCTTGAAAATGACTGGGTGAGAAGAGAAGTTGAGGAAACAGAGTGAAGGTGAAAAAAGAAGCAGTGGTGAGGAGTTTATGAGTGGGGTAAAAGAAGGAGTGAGAGGGATATTTGAATTAGAAAATAGGAATGGATATTAAATGGAGGGGAATTTATATTATTTACAGCAAACAGAGCAAAGTTGATCAAGAGGTGTAGGCAAAAACAGATAAAAGACAAAAACGAGGTCCTGATGTTGAAGTTTGTAGATGCAGCTTTGGGACGGATCACATCATCCAAATGAAAGTTTCAATTCTCATTTTGGGCTTTTACGCTTCACTGTAACTAATATGAGTTTTGTCTCTGACACTGTGACCTTAGGTCGATGCTCCATCTCAAGATTTGCCAGTGAGTCAGGATTTTTTATTAGCTTGGAAGAAAGGAGCCACGGTGCAAACTGCTGTGTGCCTCAAATGAAATGGAGCCAAATTCCCTCGCTGCTGAGTCCTGTCCCATATCTCGCTCATGCACCAGCTTGTGACTCTTATATCATTGGGAGTCTGTCTGTGTTTATGGGCTTAAATGCACATGTATTTCTGTGTATTTATTTTGTAAAACCATACAAAAAAAATTTAACTGAACATTAAACTAGTTACAGTGGCTTTGGGTTAGCTTTCATGCATGTTGCTCGGAAAAAAACAGACGCACTACATTTCTAGAAAAGCTACTCCAAATAACCTAGACTACGACATGCTGATGAGACACAATGTTTGATCAAAGCTAATAGCTATTATCACAATCACAGATCAAACCATCTATGGTTCATGCTAGACATCATGCTTGTTCTGTCACCATCAGAGAAAACAATATTTACTCCATGGGACCCTAAATCAAATTCTAGACCAAGCATGTAACACAGACCATTCTCATGTAGGCCCTGTTCAGACCTTGTGTTAACATCCGTCCTGAGAGATCCGTGTATGTACGTGTTCACACCTGGTTTAAAAATGTGTCAGGAATGTGTCTCCTCTGACCACTTGTAATTGGATCTCACTGAGAAGCATATAAATACTTTGGATTAATTGTGAAGCGTGTCAGGGGATGTTGTCTGAGTGGCTGGTCCTAGGGACGCAATTGCGTTCAACCAGCTAAATGACTCTGGCCACACCTCCAAAAATAGTCTGAGTGATCGGATCTCAGGACACTTTCAGGACATATTTGGGAGAGTACTTAGCACTGGCCACATCCAAGGCCGATGGAAGTAGGGGTGCTGAGGGGGCGGCAAGTCAGTAAAGGTTATTTTAAAAGTTTTAATATTGAATTTGTCTCAAGTGACATTTTGAGAGTAGCATTGTGGTGTTTTTCTATAATAATTGATTCATTAATTTTATTCTGCAAAGTCTATCTGACACTAAGAACATAAACCAAATTCCAACTGTCCACAGCTGAATGTGCTGCTTTGACACATAGTTGATGTTCATGTTCGTTGTCAGTTAATGTAAAATGTTGTAAGACTTCAAATTAAAACTAAAATCAGGAATGTTGAGCTGCTGCTCTGCGTCGAATATGACGTGTTATAGACTTTCTCTCAGCACCCTCGACTCTCACTGACTTCCAGCGTCCCTGTCCGCGTCTCATCGGATCACTCACCACGGATGTTAATACCGAGACTAAACGGGGTCGTGGACTGTGCTGATGTCACAAAATGTCAGGCTGCACATTTGATCAGAAAGTAAAGCTGTATCCTGCTGGAGTCTGAGCATACCAGAACCTACCCCTCTCTCTGTTCCACCGTCCTGTTGGAGATGTGAAAGGGTCGGACATGGTGTGTGAAACTTCACCAGGCTGATCCCTTCACATCGGAATCCAACAGTGGAGGCTCAGAGAATCAGACAAATCTGATGGTTGTTTTGCGGTGTAATTCATTCTGCAGTTTCACCTACAACCCGGATTTGTCTGTTGGAATTGTTTTAGGAAAGATCAGGCAGAGTGAAGTAGGTCAGTTAGGTGCAAAACTTACATGGGTGTCCTCTCTCTGCAAGGGTGGAGGGGAAAGTGATGGTGTGTTAATATCTTTAAAGCACAACATAAACTATATTGTGGTACATTTGCACACAATTTAACACACACACACACACAGCATCGTTGTCAACAGCGAGGTAAACAGGTCTGAACACATTGAGGAGTGTTATTATCATGCACAATTAAACACATCTCATCCAAACATATGCTCACTAAACACTTACTGGGCAGAATCAGTGTGATTGATAAGGCATAATAATTTGTGCACAACTGTGTCGAGATGTAGCGCATCATCTCCTGTCATTTCCTCAACATGCATGGCGGCAAGCTAAGAATGCAACATCTCCCGGCTGCCTCACAGCAAACGCTAATCCTGTGTTGGACGAAGGGTGCTAAAAAAGAAGACAAGAAAGAAGACAAAAGGAGGGAGGGAAGGAGAAAGCAGGCGGAAGGGAGAGCTCACCTGTTTGACACGCCAAGTCAACGTCCTTCTCAAAATCCGTCTAAAAGAGGGAGGCCGGGCAGGAAGAGAGGAGACACAATGAGAATGTTATGTGCAAAGTACAGTCACTGCATTAGCATAACAGTAGCAGCACCACAGGCCTGATGAGTGATTGGATCTCAAATGGTTGTGCTGCATTCAATCACGCTGATGCTCTAATGTGACTCTGCAGAAGACGATAGGATGTGTTGCCATGGCGACAGTCAATTAGAAATGCCCTCTATGAACGGGAACATAAAACAAAATACAGCGCCTTTAGTCACGCCGGTTTTCATGTCTTCATAGCGAAATTTGTCCAAAGCCCTCATCAAGCCGAAAAAGAACAAAGAACATGGAGGAAATTCTGACTGATGGCAAACGCTGCTGCCAATTTGTTTTGTGATGTGAATCGGTTCACAAGCAGTAGCAAATCCAAAAATACAGACTTTGCGGGAGAGAGAGGGAGACAAGCAGAACGTGGTGGAGTTCTGCCAGGTACGTAATGCTGCTGTATGCCTCGACAGTCACCTCGGTGTCGTCTGAGTGGAAACGGGGACAGGAATTTACACAGCAGCGAGACTATTATCTGATGTGCCAGTGGAAGTGGCGGTGTCTTTTCTCAGACTGCAAAAAACTATATATATAATGTAAGGACCACAAACGCTTTTATAATTCCTTCTCAACACTGAACTGAGCACAAATGCACTACACTGAGTCGCCTGCATTGAAAAAAAACTTAGATTTTATGTAGATTATGTATTTTGAGCACAAGCAAAAATGATGTTTATTTGCTTTGATGTAGAAATCCCTTGAGAAATGCAGGGTGGCAGCGCTCCTGAGGGTAAAGACACGCTCCGAAAAACCCAGAAGGCGGCAGATTAAATGAAGAAGTATTGTCTCCTAAATGGCCACCGCGTAAGTTTTTTCCCTGAACTTTAGTGAAAGTGAAGCTCATTGCTATGCAGCCGCGGTCCTTTCCTTTTCCCCGCCACAGAGCTTCCTCCTGTCCTCAGTGGGATTCACTTACAAAAGCCTTTGTTTGGATAATAAACTACAGATTTTAGACAGTTTGGGCACGCCACGGAGGCAAAGAGTGAGGAGGAGAGGGGGAAATGAAAAACTGAAAGAGAAGGGAAGGAGAGAATATGCAAGGGCCTCAGAGGAGTGGGGGAAGCTCTTGGTACGCAAATCACCCGCAGCACCATAAATGGGTCTAAATGAATGAATGAGGATATGAAAGAAACCCCTCTCTCTTCCTCGCAGTCTCTCTCCCAAACTAAAACAAATCATCTTTATTTTAATTATCGCACACACTCACTATGACACAGCTCACAGGTTAAGTAAAGTGAAGCGACTGATAAAAAGTCCGAAAAAGGAATACAGTGCTGTTGACTGATTCCTGCAGTAAAGACGAAGTCAACACAATGTAGCTTACAGCAGTCAAGTCTGAGGTCACTGCTGAAATAAAGAGTGAAAAGATAAATCACTAAACAATATTTACACTTATCTTGCAGCAAATCAAGTTGTACTTTCTATCTATACCATCAGAACTATTCCTACTTAGAAGGTGCAATGCGTAATCACACAATATCTGATGCAATGATGAGTTTTTCAGTGAAAGGAACAGTTTGACATTTTAGTTACACGTTTATTTGCTTTTGCAGATGACGTCAATGAGGAGATTCATGTCACTCTCACGTCTTTATGCTTAAAATTAAACTGCCGCGTAGCTGTAAACAGAAGGGTACCAGTCTGGCTTACGCCTCGTTTCCACACAGTTCTGTTTCGTGTCTGTAATTCCGTTTACTTTGCGGATTCCCACACCCCCTGGTGGTCAACGCAGAGAGAAGCATTCCTTTTACAGACGGACAGAGACACCCCAGCAGCCATGGTCAAATTCTCTCTTTCTTTTGTAGCCAGGTTTTAAATGAATGTATGTAAACTACACAGTTTGACCATAACCATCATCAAACAACTGCATTGACTGAAATAGCCTCTTTTGTTGCGGCAGGGTTACCATAGGAATGAATTTACCTCTAGTTGACTCGCATACTTCACAGAGTGAAAACAAGGCTGATGAGAACATGAACCAGCACATCTAACCTCAGTAATTAGCACATTATATATTGTTTGTGTCAAAACTAGCTATGTGTGCAACAAGTTCTCCACCTTGTGTATGTCTGGAGACAAGACTGCAAAAAGTTGCAAAGCCAAGAAATATTCCATCATATAACCTTGTTTAAAACCACAATAATATGTATTTACACTTGTTTTTAGTGCGTTGAACCAACTAGATATATGTTGAGTAAAGACATGAAAGTGGCATCAATCATCTCCCTGCAAAAAGTTTGTGTATCTCTCAAAATGTCACATCCTTCCTTTAATTTTTTCTCATGTTTGCTGCAAATGATTGTTTTACAGACTGCAATCTCTTTCTATGGACTCAACTATTCACAATTACTGGTGACTAATGAATTTTCTCCAGATGACATACTCGTTGGCTGCCGATGTGGTTGAGGGCGTGGTTGTGGTTATGGTTATGAGCATGGTTGTGGGTATTGTTCAGGATGGGGCTATGCTCATGTGCGTGGCTGTGGTCTAGCCCGGGGATATGGTTGCTGCGGGGTAGACTGTGGTAGCCTTGCTGGCATGCCTGGTGGCACGACGGCGGGAGCGGCTGCGGCTGGCAAGCCGAGAGGCACGGGGAGGTGCCGTAACGCAGGGAACCACACTGCTGCCCACAGTAGCTCACATTTGGACCTCTCTGATGGTGTAAAAGAAATGAGTGGAAAACATAAAGTTGAAATGTTAGTGGAGGACATGTTGTTGACACTTGTTGAGGAGAACACTGAGATTCTGTCAGAGATGAATTAATTTATGTAAAGATGGCTTTGATTCAGCGTTTAGGTGCAGCTGCAGCCCTGCATCATTATGATGTTTCTAAATGTCAACGGGTTAACACTGTATTGAGGTTTCCTCTGAGTATAGATACCTAAGAGGATGGTGCTTACTGTAATTATGATGCAGATATTATTGGTGGCAGCTTACACAAATTATCCATCACAATTAATGTTCTCAAGGGTGATTATACAACACTTGTGCCACTGTTAAAAAAAAGATTTCTTCATTCACATTCAGATGATCAAAAAAAAAAACACTGAAGCAACAAGGTTTAAGGACGATCTTCCCTAAGTGCAATTGTCATAGCAACCAGCCGAACTCTGTGTGATAACAATAAATTTAACCAAAAATTAAATAAGCTCAGTTCCAATGTAATGCTCCTCTGACTTATGAAAACAAGAGACAGAGAAGTGTCATAATGAGTTCCCTGTGCAGAATGATAGCTCCAAAGTTTAATTTTGATAACCTCGGAGGGGCGTTCAGTGGCCCATAATCGTTATTGCAAACAGGTCTAAGGGAGAAATAAAAGGGAGCGGGGATGTGAGAGTCGCTCATGTTCTAATGGCAGCAGTGTGACTGTGCTGACATTGGCAAGGCACTTCAAGTCTATGTGATTTATCACACTATTAGCCACATTTGGAACAAATACAATAACCTACAATAACCGCTGTGCTCTTCAAATAGAGAAAAAGGAGTTCAGGTAAGAAGTAAATAAAAGTGCTGAAGTGTCTCTTTTGGTAATACAGGAAGTCCAGTGGGAGATATTGACTTATTGAAGTAAGAGGAAGCAGCAGTGTCAAAAACGAATTGGTATTAATTTCAGCAGGATTCCGTTCAGACACGCTATTTGTTGACAACTATTTATGTCCTGCTACAATGCTATAGGAAGTTAGCTTCAAGCTGGGAGTGAAATTGCATTTCTTTGCGAAAAGCAGTCGAATGAATAATGCATAAACAATAATTACTTTCTGTTAAGGTAGAAATGGTGAATGAAAATAAAAAAGAGCCAGGAATGAGTTGGAGCACTTCAATAAAGCCACTCATGCTTCTTTCCACTGGAGGTTGAGCTTGTGGAAACCTCAGCCCGGTTAATGTTGCTCCAAAGCGAATGGATCGCAATGTGGGATGAAATGGAAATGCTATTCACCATGATCTGCACCTGTCCGTTCTTGCAGGAGTCGGGTGAGTTTTCGCTGTCGTCTTTGCATCCCCCCATCCGACAGCGCACCGCGTCCTGCACCTGAGGGGAGGGGAGAGGATGAATATGAAAAACGGAGAAGAAAGAGGAAGGATGAGAGAGAGGAAGGGAGGAGGCAAAGGAGCAGAAGTTAGTGAAGGGAACTTTTACTTAAGTTAGCAACTTTTGCAGCATCAGGGAACACACTCCTCACACGTCTTATAGTCTTCATCTTTATCAACGCAATGGCGGATGCTCAGTGAATACCAAATTCTGTGAAAGCTGCAAAGTAGATGGAAATGCCACATTCTTCACAAAGAAACTGGGCTTTTTTAGCTTATGTAACAGCCAGTGAAGTGGTATAGAATACACGCCGCAGCACTTCAAAGTGTCCTGTTTGAGCTTCGCGAGATCAGTGGTGCGCGGTCCTAATTAAAACCAACAGTACGGGATATGGATGCTCTAACCTCTGGGCCTCTCCGGTGTCATATTGTTCTTCTTCATCCTCCCACGTGCAGCATCTGAGCAAACACACAGCAGCCCACAGTGGGAGGACTGGTTCTTGTAACGCAGCTCAAATCAAATGGATCCCGCTCAACTCTGAAATCCCACCCCCCTCCCCCATCAGGCTCTGTATTATAGATAGCCTGGTTAGTCGCTGAGGAGCAACATCATTTCTCAATGTTGCCGCTGTCAAATCCCATAAGAATCTCATGCGTGGAAACAAGAGTGCTAGTGTAAGAAGCGGTGCGAGAGCCAACGACAGCATCGTCACTCTTGCTGGGTGGTCTCATCGTGTGTGTGTGTGTGTGTGTGTGTGTGTGGCGACAAATGGAGTGGATTGGAGCAGCATCCTTGTCTGATTAATACTGCATGGTTGAGCCTATTGCCTCTATTGTGTCCTTCTGTGGATCCCGTCCCTCCGTGTCCATACTCATCTTCATCTGTGTTTATTTCCCCT